CCAGAATTGTAAGCCAAATAAACCTCTTTCCTTTATAAATTACCCAGTCTCAGCTATTTCTTTTATAGCAACTGCAAATGGACTACAACAGACTTAAAATTATAAGTATTGAACAAGAGTCAAGATTTTCTGTTTGATAATATAATCACTTATCTGCTAAACAAATTAAAATCAACTGAAAAACTCTTAGAACTAACAAGGTCATTCCATAAAGTGACTGGCTGGAAAATAAATATGCAAAACTTATGCTTTTCTTATATAATGAGCCAGCTAGAAAATTAAAGGGAGGGGGGCCGGCCCAGTGGCGCACTGGATAAGTGCGCCGCTTGGGAAGCGCGGNTGGGGGGCTGGGGAGGGACAGCATGTGGACATCAGCAGATGAGAGATTCTGATGAACTTCTAAAAGAAAAAGAAAAGAACTTCCAGATTTAAAAGCATGATGGTCAGAACCATTGAAAACCTCTCTACTGCTACAAACACAGGCAGAGATGCTGGGCTAAAATACAATAAAGAATAATTTTAGTATGAAGCTGGAGGAAGGAAAGAGAAATCCCTACATGTCAGAAATGAAGACAATACCAAGAGCCAGATGGATAAAGGTGCAAAGTGATCCTGCCGAGGAGCCAGAGAGAGGTCACAACTGCTAAGGGAAGGGGTCTTACTGCTCACATGAGGACAACAAGGTAGCAAAGGGCCTCTCAAGATGGGGAGCTGATGTGGAAACTCCTGCATCAAGCCCGCATCCTGGGAAGGTTTTTCTCTCATATAAGGAACCTAAAAAATCTATCCTCAGAAGCTTTCTGTTCCAGGATCTGAATTGAAAAAAAAACCAAGGAACCTAAAAAATCTATCCTCAGAAGCTTTCTGTTCCAGGATCTGAATTGAAAAAAAAAAACAAAAAAACACTTCCTATGAAAAATCTTTGCCTAAGCCTTTTATGGGAATGGCATCTGATCCAAGCTACCCTCATGATATAGGAACCAAGAGCTGCTGAGGGACAGTGGCAGCCTGCCGTCCCCCACCCACGAGCGTAATGGAAGCCAGCCATGCAGCACACACCACCCACACACTCCCCTTTAGAGAGAGGCCAAGTGGGAAAGCAAGTCTAAACAACTGTGCAGAAGACCCGTGCCAGCTGCTCTGCTAATCAGCCTCGCTTTTCATGTAGAAATATGAACAGACAACAGGATGACCAGGTATTTCAGAAAAACCGACAGCATAGAAGGCATGGATTAAGAAGAACCAATACAACAACTAACCCAGGAGAAAACAAAGATAATTAGGAAATAGAAGAGGACTTTTCAAGATGTTAGTGTGTAAAACAAGAAGAGGTTGCTATATAAAGAAGCAATGGGTGAGGAATAAGTTCTTAGAAGTTAAAAATATTGCTCCAGTGATCCAAATTAGAACAGAAACCCAGGGGACCTCAAGATGAATGTATTGGGTACATAGATGACCAGTGATCAGGAAGCAGAATGATCTAATGATAAGGTTAAGTCAAATTATATTTTGACATATGCCAAAAAAAAAAAAAAAGGCAATTGGTAACTCCAGGAAAATTAAAATCTATGCTATACAAGAAACTCATAGCCTAAAAAGAAGCAAACCTGAACGTGTCATAGTTTTGATCAGTTAAGGGCATAGGAAGAAAGAATCCATTCCACCTCAATCCTGGGAATGCCAGTGGCGGGAGGGCATCTTTCCATTCTGGCAGGTCAAGCCGTCCATCGTGGTTTCATTAGAGATACTTGGCATGATGGGTATGGTGGTTGGCCCTCAGTGTATTTCTTCCTTCTTTCCAGGGTTCCTCTCTGTTCTGCAGAGACTGAAAGCAAAACCCCACATTTCCAGACTCCCTCCCCAGCTGGAGTTCTATTTGTGACTTCTGTTCAGCCACCACATGTGCTTCAAGGAAGGCACAAGAATGTGCTGAGAACCCCAACCTCCCTGTCCACACTGGCATGGCCTTGATGATCCTGTCTTCACCAGCAACATGCTTCTTCTCCAGACACTCCAACCCAGTCAGTGGTATGAATGCTCGTGACGTGGGTGCTTTGGACTGAATGTTCCCCCCAAATTTGACCCCCACTGTGACAGTGTTAAGAGGGTGGGAAATCTTATTATGGTAATTGCAAGGTGGGGCTTTGAAGAGGTGATTGGATTGTGAATGGATTAATAAGGGTGGTCAGGGATGTGGTTCTGAGGGTTTTAAAAGAGCACATGAGAGGTTAGTCTCTCTCTGCTTTGCCATTTTCTGCCCATGTGAGACCCTGGGTCACTGTCACTACCACCAAGGCCTTCACCAGATGTCTTCCCTGGACTTTGGACTTCCCAGCCTCAGAAACTGTAAGCAATACATTTTCTTTTCTTTGTAAATCACCCAGTTCCATGCATTTTGTTATAAGCAACAGAAACAGACTAATACAGGAAGTAATCATTAGAAGAACTGAAAACAAAAGTTGTTAAAATCAGCTAACTCTGGAAGACAGATGACAAACGTATTATGAAGAGAAAGATTTTTTTACTTTTCATCTATACTTTTTGTACAGTTAAAACTTTTATTACCACATGCACATAATTACTTATATAAAATATGTTAAAATTGTATACATGTTTAACAACAAACATATCCATACCTGGAATTTTTGGTTGAGTAATTTTTCAGGAATAGTAGAAGAATGGTATATTTATGGGTCTTTGTATTGTTGGGGTGCATAAAGCTGTTACCCCAAAATATGGTGCTGTGACATGCTAGAATAAAGACGCAGCCTCAAGGTCTCTCTGGTCTACCCCCTCCCGAGTCCCCGTCTCTCAATCCTCTGTCTCTCTCCAAAGCACAGGATGAAGCTGTTCCTTTACCTGCCTCAAGTCCAGACCCACAAAAGAAGAAGACAATCTCCTCTGCTCTTTTCCCTGAGTTTCATGAACCTAAATCACATCACAGGAAGGAAGACGAGTCTGTCAACACACCTGGACTAACTTTTGTCACAGACCACTGTCTTCTATTTTGGTCCCATTTAGTATCTTGAAGAAAATCATTCACCAGTCACTGTCTGCTCTGCAGGCGAAATAGACTTTGTCCCAGGCAGGCCACTGAATGTTCTCCAGGCCCTCACATCCCCCTAAGAATCATTTACTCCTACACCCCCATCTCCCTTTTCCCTATGGAGATGGGGATATAAGCTCTGTACCCCATGGGAAATTGGGACATTACTTCTCAAAGCATGATTTCCTGTATGCTTTGCCCTCTCCCAGCATGTTAAATAATCAAATTTGTTATGCCTTTTCTTCTTATTGATCTAAATTTGCCAGTGACTTTTATTAATGAAGCTTCAAGAGTGAAGAAGTTTTTCTTTGGTCCCAACAGTGTATTTGAAACTGTCTGATATTTTTTTCTGGAATTCCTATTTATGTGGCTGTATGTTAACCTTTCCTTGGAGCAATCCCGTACCAGGTCTCTCCAGCTCTGATCTCAGCCTTCAGTCCCCCATGCACTGACACCAGCCCCATCTCCCTTGCACATGGCATTCCACGCTCCGCATGCTCCACAGCACCCGCCTACATCTTCATCCGGACAAAACCCAGCATTCTTCCCTGAACTGAAAACACCCATGGTAAAACAGTAATCAAATGTTATTCCCTTGACATAATAAAAAATACCTAACAAAATTGTTGAAACAAGAGAGGTATTCTCATTAAATTCTGGATGGACTTTCATGGAGTTTGGATGTGTTGTCCCCTCCAAAACTCATGTGGAAATTTGACCTCCAATGTGGCAGTGTTGGAAACTGATTGAGTCATGGGGGCGGATCCCTCATGAATGGATTAATGCTCTCCCTGGGGCAGGGAGGGGTAGTGAGTGAGTTCTCGCTCTATTAGTTCCCATGAGAGCTGATCGTTTAAAGGACCCTGGCACCCCCTCTCTCTGTCTCTCTCTTGTTTCCTCTCACCATGTGATCTGCTTGTACCCACTGGCTCCCTGCCACTTTCCGCCATGAGTAGAAGCAGCCTGAGGCCCGTGCCAGATGCAGCTGTTCCAGAATCGTAAGCCAAATAAACCTCTTTCCTTTATAAATCATCCAGTTTCAGGTATTTCTGTTATAAACAACACAACCGGACTAAAACAGAAAATTGGTACTGAGGAGTGGGGTGTTGCTAAACAGAAA